ACATGTCTAAAATATGAAGTTATCAAGTGATTGTATTTTAGAAAGAGAGATATCAAGATATAAATTTTCTTATTTCATCATATTGATTATTTATCCTAATATAAAAAGTTCAAAGTCTTGTTTTAAAACGGAAGTTGCAATCTTTTACACTTATAAAACATAAAGCAATACATACAAGTGGTGTGAAATATAAAAGGAGAATGCGATGGAGTCCATGGTATTTTGCACCTTAATTAATGATAAAGCTACTGTACGAGGCCTATGCGCTGACACTGCACCCCTCCCCCCTTCTCCACTGTTAAAAGCATGTGCATCTTTAGACCCTTGTGTGCGTTTGTTTATGCTGAGAGTGACGAATGCCTGTCACTACCATTTCAACTGTGGCACTGAAAAACATGGCATGTTTTTTTATATATATATCTGCATTTAAAAGGATCGCTTATTGAAGGAAAATGACCCCTACCTCTTTCACCCTTTTTCTCCCTCTTTTCCTTTTTGTTTTCTCATATCCAATTCCATCTCAAAAGGAAGATTTTAGCCCCCCCTCTTGCTTCCTATACACAAAATGGTCCCAACCATGGCATCATTCACCCAGATGAATGTCACATGTATCATTCATTTAATATTACCCAAAGGGTCCATCTTTACTAGGCTACCTGACACATCAATAACATCATGCTTATTAATGACATTAATGTCAAAAAACAAAATAATTGTTATAAACCATTCTTCCTTTTTTTCCTCACCACATGCATGCATTGCCTCTAATGCATAGTCCGTAAAATCCACAAATACCACCTATTTCCAAAATATAATCATTAATCTACCCCTGAAATATCCAGAATTGTGTTTTTTCTTTTGATAGAGATATATCTTCATTTGTTACGGAATTGGAATCTGCATTCTCTTATGCTTCTTTTTTAGGTATGATTTTTAAGCCACAAGTATGGACTCCAACCATTATTTTCTATTCATTAATATCTTCTGAAGCAGAAATATATAGCTTTGCATGATCTTGTATTTTAATTTTCATACAACAATTTGTTAAATGGAGAAAAACAGGTTGCAGCTCACCTTTATACAAACCTTGAATAGTCAGACTCTCAAATTCCTAAACGCTGCATCTCAACAACAATATTATAATAAAGAATATGAACTTTCTTTAAGATAAAACAAATTTCACCTTGTCAAGAGAAAAGAAAACATAAAAGAACCAAGAGAGAAGAAGAAAAGAAGAATATAACTTGCTGTGAACTCCTCCGAATATCTTTATATCATATCATGTCTTCCCCTTTGGCTGAATAAAGGTTGTCTTTTCTTTCTTTTGCAAGTATATGTCATTCATTCTGCTTCTCCTTCTGTGGTGGCTGAAGACATGTAACTCATCACAATGGAGGTCTCTTCTGATGGAACCCCAAGAGTTGAAGACTGGAACTGTTGCTTGCAACTTTGGCATGTTATTTCCAAAACAGTGGAGCTTATCTTCTTCATGGCGTGCTTTCTCAACTCTTCAGCCTTTGCCAGTTCAGATTGTGCTTGTTTCCTTATCCTTTTGGCATTCTCAAACTCAAGTTCAGCTATCTCAATCTGACGTTTGGCCTCTTTCCTAGCATCTTCTGCATAAGCTTTTTCTGCTATGGCCAACTTGAGTTCCTCAGCTGCAAACTCTTTCAACCTCGCCACTTCCAATGTGGAATACTCGCTCACATTATTATTCCTTTCAGGTGGGCTCCTATGTGCTTCTGAGCACACTCTCTCTTCATTCCCTTTGTCATTACTACATGACCCTATTGAAAGTTTCAAACCATAGTTCTCCTTCGGATTTCGTTTTTCTTGAGAATTTATTGAGGAGGGTAAGAGCTGAAGTTCTAAGTTCCGAGAGGTGGTGGACTTGTTATTGTGTATCTCTGAAGTTAATAAGACTGTTGCTAGTTGATCAGCAGAAACTGGTTTTGGCAGTGGAAGTCCTTGCAATGGTGGGGCGATGCTAAAATTTGCCTCACTAGAGGGACTTGCGCTTGAAGCTGTTCTAGAAGAGCATGCAGGTTGCAGTACTTGCAACTCTGGCCGGTGCTGCCGGACAGTGCATGCATCTTGGTGTTCTATGAAACTCTCCACCCTGAAAAAGACAAACGTTTAGGTAATTAAAATAAACTAGACTGTGATATACATTTATGTTCTTGTCGCTTGATATATGATTGACTAGGGGGGAATACCTGGTCAAACAAAGATATATATGTATACCGAAAACCTTGTTAGTTAGTGTTTCAAAAACATGCATTTATAAAATTAATTACTCAGAGGTCCTGTCCGTGGCTTCAGTGGGCAAGTTTCAAATTGAATAGTTGATTAAAATAAAATAAGACAGAGTGATTAAATTAATGAGGACATCATAAGTTCAAATAAAGAATGAAAAAAAAATGAAATGTTTCCTTCTTACGGACTTTTGTGGTTCTTTAGCTTATCAATAGTAATTTGGAGATAGACTGGTCCTAAACTTAAAAGCTGCCATAGGAACTCCAGTGTAAGGCGTATGTGTGCAATATTCATAACAACATCATGCTTAGGATTCTGAAAATTTTTCAACTTACATGCTTTAGGACTTCCAAAATAGAATATTAATATATTTAATAACCTCTAGAAGATGGAAAATGTTTCACATGGAAGGTATCTGAGATTCAGAATTTTTGTTTCTGTGCACCGTCCTTGTACCTAGAATTTAGGGTTTGACCACAATCACATAACAATTTAAGAAGTAAAATTTTAATAGTTATTAATAATAGTAGTTTGGTTTTCGGTTATGGAGAGCAAAAAACAATTGCTGAGCAGGGGCTGAATCTGAGGAGCCAAAAAAACACAGAAACCAAGAAAGAGAGAGAAAGGTGGAACCTTTGAAATAATAGACACGGCCACTAAGATAGGAAGTAAGGTGGAAACAAAACGCAAACAAACCTGGAAAAAACACGGCCACAGTCACAGGAATGACCCCTAGTGCCACAGGTTTTGATGTGTGCCTTGTAATCAGATTGAACAGCATACCCTTTGGAGCACTTGTCACAGACCCACTGCTTGTGATTGCTATGCTTCCTTCTGAAGTGCTTCTTGATCCCCACAAGATCCCCAAGGGCATGGCAAGGGTCATGGTGCAAACAGCTTGGCTCTGGACAGACAAATACTCTCTTCTTCTGCCCTTGTGTTTCCCTCTTGAGCAATTTCCATGGCACCTTGTGTCTTCTCCTGTGCATTTGAAGATTCTGGTCCCTCTGGAACCCTTGGTTGCAGATCTCGCACACATATCTGTCAGATTCCAGCAAGGTGGTGGGTGAGAGAGATACAACCTCAGCATCTGGATCTGCATAAATAAATACATATGTACACAGGAACAGCATAAACAGCAGCAACAACAACCAGGAAAAAGAAATTAACTTTAGAGAGAAAATCCAAAGCCCACGAATTTTGTCTGAGGTAAAAGCCTGAAAGTTGAAACTTAGCCCCATAAAAGGGTAAAAAACTTTACCGGGTGTGCCTGCGGGTCTTCTTTTCCTTTTGTTCGCCACCCCATTTTCAGATAATGCAAAGGCGGCATCAGAAGAAGATGGTGCACCAGAAGAAGCACTGTTGTCTAACATGGGTGGAATTTTTGTGCGTGTGGTTTGAGGACTATATGTAACTATAGGAGGATTAATTGTGACGACGACTAGTACAAGTGGTGAGGTTGCAATAGTGGGTTTCAGCTTTACTTGTATGGAAAAGAAGATGAGGAATGATAGTGGCACAAGTGAAGGAAGAAAGAGAGAGATAGAGATAAAGATAATAGAAATAATAGAGAGAGAAAAAGGTGTTGCTTTATGTAATCAGCTTTCTTTAAGGCTTTTTTTCCCCTAGCTTTTTCTTTCCCACGAGCTTTCTTGCTTTGGTGTTTCATTGACCCCTCACCTCGAGCAGGTAAGGTTGAAGGCAAGTCTTGTTTATAAAGCTCCCTCTGTAGCGTGTGTGATTAAGGGATGTGTGTGTGTGTGTCTTTTGCTTCGTGCTGACCCTATCCAATCAACGTTTGGTTCAAACTTTGAGCCCCCACACGCGGAATTTTGGACAGGAACAAAAAAAACATCCTCTTCCTCTCTGATCCAACCACACAAGAAAACAACCACGCTTATTCGTCTTATTATTATTATCATTATTATTAATACCATGATTATTATTATCACTGTAATTTGCATGAACTCCGTTATGCATGACCTCGTCTTCTCTCTCCTCACGTGACATGCGCCAGACAAAGTCATTCCGTCACACCTAACAACGCCGGCCGCACAAATCGGGCCGCTGGCAGATTCATCACTTCCACCAAACATGGAGACAGTATATATACAGATCTTCAGTTGCATCCAAATGTAAGGAAAATGGCAAATGACCCGCACACCCCATATCCAACTGCAACAGCATATACAAGTTAATTAATCCACTCAGTGACATAAATTTAGGTATTTATTTAATTTTATTAAGATAGAAAGACCATACTTGCCTTCAACCATAGCATGAAATTCATCCCTTAAATTGAGTCTTATTTTCTTTTAAAAATTTAAAAGTCATTATTCTGTTTTTTCATGTGAAAATGTCTTACTTTTAGTTTAGGGAACTAAAACTATTAAAAGGTGATCTTAAAATTAAAAATTAGTCTAATTTTAAGCCAGAAGACAAAAAATAACCCACTTTAATTTTGGAAACGGAAATATATTCCAAAATCGAAGAATAAAACAAATTTTTAGGCTAACTAAAAACGTTTGAGAATGTGTTACCCTTTTAAACAAGTTGACCGTCTAAAATAAATTATAAGTTAAACTTATAAATATAATTGAATATTTCTTTAAATTTTTAACTTAAATATATTTATCTTATTTTATGATATAATTTCTATTTTTTTCTTTTGGACACGGGCGAGTTTGTTTGAGTTTTTATTTTGAGAAAAAAGTTATTCCAAAATAAAAAAATATTTACTATATATTTTTAGATGTTTATTTTATGTAGAAATCAATTTATTTTGATAACAGAGCTAACTAATCTAGCAGGTACTCAAACTATTAAAGAAAACACAAAATAATTAAAGAATGCTAATTTTATTTTTCAAGAATCACTTATTATTAAATTTTTCAAAAATATAATTATATCCTTAAAAAATTTGCTTGATATCTATAGTGAAGAGAAATTGTTTTAAGTGAGGATACANTAATAAGACTGTTGCTAGTTGATCAGCAGAAACTGGTTTTGGCAGTGGAAGTCCTTGCAATGGTGGGGCGATGCTAAAATTTGCCTCACTAGAGGGACTTGCGCTTGAAGCTGTTCTAGAAGAGCATGCAGGTTGCAGTACTTGCAACTCTGGCCGGTGCTGCCGGACAGTGCATGCATCTTGGTGTTCTATGAAACTCTCCACCCTGAAAAAGACAAACGTTTAGGTAATTAAAATAAACTAGACTGTGATATACATTTATGTTCTTGTCGCTTGATATATGATTGACTAGGGGGGAATACCTGGTCAAACAAAGATATATATGTATACCGAAAACCTTGTTAGTTAGTGTTTCAAAAACATGCAATTATAAAATTAATTACTCAGAGGTCCTGTCCGTGGCTTCAGTGGGCAAGTTTCAAATTGAATAGTTGATTAAAATAAAATAAGACAGAGTGATTAAATTAATGAGGACATCATAAGTTCAAATAAAGAATGAAAAAAAAATGAAATGTTTCCTTCTTACGGACTTTTGTGGTTCTTTAGCTTATCAATAGTAATTTGGAGATAGACTGGTCCTAAACTTAAAAGCTGCCATAGGAACTCCAGTGTAAGGCGTATGTGTGCAATATTCATAACAACATCATGCTTAGGATTCTGAAAATTTTTCAACTTACATGCTTTAGGACTTCCAAAATAGAATATTAATATATTTAATAACCTCTAGAAGATGGAAAATGTTTCACATGGAAGGTATCTGAGATTCAGAATTTTTGTTTCTGTGCACCGTCCTTGTACCTAGAATTTAGGGTTTGACCACAATCACATAACAATTTAAGAAGTAAAATTTTAATAGTTATTAATAATAGTAGTTTGGTTTTCGGTTATGGAGAGCAAAAAACAATTGCTGAGCAGGGACTGAATCTGAGGAGCCAAAAAACACAGAAACCAAGAAAGAGAGAGAAAGGTGGAACCTTTGAAATAATAGACACGGCCACTAAGATAGGAAGTAAGGTGGAAACAAAACGCAAACAAACCTGGAAAAAACACGGCCACAGTCACAGGAATGACCCCTAGTGCCACAGGTTTTGATGTGTGCCTTGTAATCAGATTGAACAGCATACCCTTTGGAGCACTTGTCACAGACCCACTGCTTGTGATTGCTATGCTTCCTTCTGAAGTGCTTCTTGATCCCCACAAGATCCCCAAGGGCATGGCAAGGGTCATGGTGCAAACAGCTTGGCTCTGGACAGACAAATACTCTCTTCTTCTGCCCTTGTGTTTCCCTCTTGAGCAATTTCCATGGCACCTTGTGTCTTCTCCTGTGCATTTGAAGATTCTGGTCCCTCTGGAACCCTTGGTTGCAGATCTCGCACACATATCTGTCAGATTCCAGCAAGGTGGTGGGTGAGAGAGATACAACCTCAGCATCTGGATCTGCATAAATAAATACATATGTACACAGGAACAGCATAAACAGCAGCAACAACAACCAGGAAAAAGAAATTAACTTTAGAGAGAAAATCCAAAGCCCACGAATTTTGTCTGAGGTAAAAGCCTGAAAGTTGAAACTTAGCCCCATAAAAGGGTAAAAAACTTTACCGGGTGTGCCTGCGGGTCTTCTTTTCCTTTTGTTCGCCACCCCATTTTCAGATAATGCAAAGGCGGCATCAGAAGAAGATGGTGCACCAGAAGAAGCACTGTTGTCTAACATGGGTGGAATTTTTGTGCGTGTGGTTTGAGGACTATATGTAACTATAGGAGGATTAATTGTGACGACGACTAGTACAAGTGGTGAGGTTGCAATAGTGGGTTTCAGCTTTACTTGTATGGAAAAGAAGATGAGGAATGATAGTGGCACAAGTGAAGGAAGAAAGAGAGAGATAGAGATAAAGATAATAGAAATAATAGAGAGAGAAAAAGGTGTTGCTTTATGTAATCAGCTTTCTTTAAGGCTTTTTTTCCCCTAGCTTTTTCTTTCCCACGAGCTTTCTTGCTTTGGTGTTTCATTGACCCCTCACCTCGAGCAGGTAAGGTTGAAGGCAAGTCTTGTTTATAAAGCTCCCTCTGTAGCGTGTGTGATTAAGGGATGTGTGTGTGTGTGTCTTTTGCTTCGTGCTGACCCTATCCAATCAACGTTTGGTTCAAACTTTGAGCCCCCACACGCGGAATTTTGGACAGGAACAAAAAAAACATCCTCTTCCTCTCTGATCCAACCACACAAGAAAACAACCACGCTTATTCGTCTTATTATTATTATCATTATTATTAATACCATGATTATTATTATCACTGTAATTTGCATGAACTCCGTTATGCATGACCTCGTCTTCTCTCTCCTCACGTGACATGCGCCAGACAAAGTCATTCCGTCACACCTAACAACGCCGGCCGCACAAATCGGGCCGCTGGCAGACTCATCACTTCCACCAAACATGGAGACAGTATATATACAGATCTTCAGTTGCATCCAAATGTAAGGAAAATGGCAAATGACCCGCACACCCCATATCCAACTGCAACAGCATATACAAGTTAATTAATCCACTCAGTGACATAAATTTAGGTATTTATTTAATTTTATTAAGATAGAAAGACCATACTTGCCTTCAACCATAGCATGAAATTCATCCCTTAAATTGAGTCTTATTTTCTTTTAAAAATTTAAAAGTCATTATTCTGTTTTTTCATGTGAAAATGTCTTACTTTTAGTTTAGGGAACTAAAACTATTAAAAGGTGATCTTAAAATTAAAAATTAGTCTAATTTTAAGCCAGAAGACAAAAAATAACCCACTTTAATTTTGGAAACGGAAATATATTCCAAAATCGAAGAATAAAACAAATTTTTAGGCTAACTAAAAACGTTTGAGAATGTGTTACCCTTTTAAACAAGTTGACCGTCTAAAATAAATTATAAGTTAAACTTATAAATATAATTGAATATTTCTTTAAATTTTTAACTTAAATATATTTATCTTATTTTACGATATAATTTCTATTTTTTTCTTTTGGACACGGGCGAGTTTGTTTGAGTTTTTATTTTGAGAAAAAAGTTATTCCAAAATAAAAAAATATTTACTATATATTTTTAGATGTTTATTTTATGTAGAAATCAATTTATTTTGATAACAGAGCTAATTAAACTAGCAGGTACTCAAACTATTAAAGAAAACACAAAATAATTAAAGAATGCTAATTTTATTTTTCAAGAATCACTTATTATTAAATTTTTCAAAAATATAATTATATCCTTAAAAAATTTGCTTGATATCTATCGTGAAGAGAAATTGTTTTAAGTGAGGATACACTCAACTAAGATTTTTCAACTGTTTTGCTTTAAGAGTCTGCGCCTAAGCAAATGCTAAATGCTAAATTTAGTAGGTGCTTAAGTAATGATACAAAACTAAAAAATTTCCATGTTACTCACTTTTAGTCACACTCTTAATCTTTAGTAATGTAAAGTGAATGACTTCACATTGTAAAATAATCTCTTAGCAAAATTTAATAGAACTTAAGCAATGACATCTTACATTTTAGTATGATGTATTTAAAATTATGTTTGTTCTTTCCATTTTATTTTAAGAAAAAAAAGTTGAAAAGTTAATTGAAAGTATCAACCAGATAGATTCCGATACGTTAACTTAATTTTGACAACTTTTTGTCAATGTCACGTGTCAGCATGTTATTAGCGCGTTAGAATTAATTTTTTTTTTTGTAAAAAAGCTAAAGTGGAAAAAACTTTAAGGTTCTCATTTTTTTTATTCCAAAATTACCCTTAATGTTTGAATGGAAGTAAGATCTCATTCTCTCCATTTTGGTTCAACATTCTCTATCCAACCTCTCCCATTTGTCATTTGTTTGTCTCCGACAAAGCAAAATGTCTCTTTATGTTAAAGTTCTCACCTTTTTGCTTTCATTCGGTTGATGGTATTGTGCGAAATGGAATTCTCTGCTAATATTGGTGTTGCTAGCAAGGTATATGGTTTATTCCCTTTCCCTATTTGCATTTTCGCTTTCCCCTTTGATTTTGGCTGTTGTCGTTTCGGTTTTTGCCCTTTCCTTTGTTGTTAAATTTTTTTTGGATTTGTTGTAACCTGGAATTTTTTTTCCATGTAGTTATGCGTTCGTCATTCTTTCAAAACCAAATATGTTGGTAATTTTAATGAAAGATTGACTCAGGAGCAGAGGTAATTTATTGAGAAGACACAATTTCGATGGTTTTTAGAATTGAATGATAATGTTAAGCTTGATAGGAATATATTGAATGAATTATTGGTTAGATTGTTTGATTTTGTAGAAAAAGTTAAGGCCAAGTGTCCCAACCAAGAGGGGGTGAATTGGTTTCCCTTGTAAAAATAAGTTCTTTTAAAATCTTTTTGATCTTTCTTGCAATGCAATCAATCAATAATGTAAACAATGCAAGAGTGTAGGGAAATAGAGATTAACACAATTATTTTATACTGGTTCGGCCACTGCCTACATCTAATCTTGTTTTAATCAACCTTAGATTGAAAGGATTCCACTATATTGATTGAGTTCTTTACAAAGCAAGACTTACAGAGAACAATCCTCTCAATGTAATCTCCTTCCTAACTCCAAATCAACTATAGCAACCCAGAAAGAATACCCTCTTTTTGTCACCCTTAAAGATACCTCACTCCAAGTCAAAGAATTTCTCCAAGTCCTCTTCCTGTCCGCAACAAGAGGGATACAATCAGCCTTGATTTGTAGATAACTCTGATATAGAAAAATACACCTGAGTGTGTAGATAAGATCAGTCTGTGACAACACTTCAATTCTTCAAGAATCTTTGAACATTTCTTCCAAATGTAGTAATCTTGATTCTTTTCTGGAGCTCCTGCAATAAGATTGTTACCAATGAGGAAGCATTGGTGTCTTGAAGATAATGATTTTGATGACGTTACAAAGTGAAGAATATGAAGACCCTTGTTGTATTAAGTTTAAAAGCATTCTTGTATAACAGAAGATACCAGGAGCGAGTAGTCCGGACCGAGCCGTGGAAGGCATGACCGAGACCAACTGAGGTATGACCAAGACTGAGCAGCTAAGACCGAGCGGTGGAAGGCATGACCAAGACCAAGCGAAGTATGACCAAGACCGGGCAGTTAGGACCGAGTAGTGGAAGGCATGACCGAGACCAAGTGAGACATAAATGAGACCGAGCGGTAGTAGTTAGGTTTTTGAGTTCTGTAGAATAAAATGTTAAGAGTTGGAAGGAGAGAGAGAAGAAGAAGCCAGGCCGAGTGGTGGAAAGTTGTGAATCAGGTCGAACGGTGAAAATTTTAAGGATTCAAGCCGAACGATGGAAAGCAGTAAAGGCTTAAGCCCAAACGGTGAAAAGCGGTAAGGAATCGAGCCAAATGACAAAGGGTAATAAAGGCTCAAGGCGAACGATAAAAGGTGGTGAGGGCTCGAGCCGAATAGTGGAAGGAGGTGAAGAACTAGAGCTGACCGGTTGAAGAGTTAAATATTCTAACAGTTTAAAAGTCTCGTAGATAATCGATTATTACTTACGATAATCGACTATCACTGGCAGTTATAATATGTCGTTATAGTTTCAGACCAGTAGGCTATATACACTCTCTTCCAAACCCTTCGAAATTATCTATGCCACTTTTGAGAATACAGTTTTTCTGAAGAAGTTCTCAAGTGATAGTGTGCTCTTGTCAAGTCTTTTGAATAGGAGAAGCTTGCGCTTAGTGTGTGTAAGGTCGGAGCAGTTCTCGTAAAGTTGGCTGAACAATTTTACTTCTGGTTTGTTTGTCGAAGGAAGGTTCTTTCTCTTCTTATTTGTATTTCATCTTATTGTAATCTGTGAATAATATTTTAGTGAAAAGGTTAATCACTATTTATAGCTATTAACGACTTGACGTATAATATTTTGATTCGAACCAAGATAAAAATCATTTGTGTGATTTTTCTACTCCATACACTCTTTATATTTTCTGCACATCAATTGTTCGATAATATTTTTGTAAGAAAATTAAAGGAATGATTTTAATTGACCGAACACACTTTACGCTCTTTAACAATCAAATATGTTTTAACTCCGCAAAATCGGTACCGATTGTTCCAACAATTGGTATCAGAGTTTGCTTTGATATTCTTTCAAATTTTTCGAAAATGGTCGGCCAATGTCAAGTTTACGCCGAAGGTGCTTCCATCAACAGACCACCACTTTTTACTGGTGATAACTATGCATTCTGGAAAGTCAAAAATGAAAATTTTCATGGGGTCTATTGACAGAGGCATCTGGGAAGCTGTAAAAAATGGTCCTTATATTCCTAAAAGTACTGTTGATGGTGTTGAAGTTGAAAAACCTTATTTTAACTAGACTAATGAGGAAAATAGAAGAGCCCAATTTGATATTAAGGCTCGTAACATTATATCTTCTGTTGTGGTGCTTGATGAATTCTATAGAATTTCTGTTTGTAAGACAACACAGGAAATGTGGGAAGTACTTAGAGTTACACACCAAGGTATTGATGAGGTAAAACGCACAAGAAAGAACACACTCATCCAAGAGTACGAAATGTTCAGGATGCAGCCTAAAGAAACAATTTCTGATGTTCAAAAACGATTCACACACATTGTGAACCACTTGACAAGGTTGGGTAAGACTTTTGATGTTGATGAATTGAATATGAAAATTCTAAAATCATTGGACATATCTTGGCAACCAAAGGTGACAGCCATCTCAGAGTCATAAAACCTCTCCCAAATGTCAATGGCGATTCTCTTAGGAAAGTTTCGTGAGCACGAGCTTGAGCTGAATAGATTGACTGCAGAGGAGGATCAAGGCAAGAGGAAGACCTTAGCCTTCAAATCTGAAATCTCAAAAGGAAAAAGTTCAAGGAATAATGATGATGATGACTCTGATGATGAGGAAAACATGAGCCTCATGATAAAGAAGTTTGCTAAATTCATGAGAGCAAAAGGAAAGGATAAATACAGAGGAGAAAAGAAGGAAAATCAAGGATCTCCATCAAGCATCAA